GCTGTTCTAATGTTACGTCATATTACCTGAGTGTTCCTGGGCGAATATTTAAATATTAACATGAGAGGAGTGGAATAAAGAAAGTGCAGGAGGATTGATATTCAGAACGGTAAGCACGCACTGCTTTGTTTACGGTGTGTATGTATTCCCTTTACGCAATCATACTACAAATCATGCGTAACTGCCGCTTTACCATCAGGTTACCATACGTACCATCAGAATTGAATACGACAAGAAGCACAACTGGATGTACGGGAAGCCAAAAGGTTAAAAAAAAGTATTATTTTAATAAAAAAGATTTATTATAAGCGAGTTTTTCCTGCTCTGTCATTTCAATCTAGCTTTTTTTGTTTGTTTGTTTTTCAAATTTAAACCGTTATTAGCGATTTCAATGTAATGTTTAAGGCTTTGATTAGTAGCCTATACTCGTCTAGCAGAAGACTATTTGAACCACAATCACTTCACAATTTAGTGTCACATTTTATAAAATAAATAGGCTAATACTTGTTTTGAAAGACTGATTTTCGAGTAGGTTTAACCAAAGGGAAAATGAAAAAAAAAAAAAACTCCAAAAACAATGGTTTCATATAGTTATTTATTGCAAGAAGCACATATGTATTCATCTTCTGTGGATGGATTGCCAACACACTTTAAGTGGAACCATCGCCCACAGTCATCACAGGCAATCTATAAAATATATATATATATATAAGATTAACAATTAAAAAAAAAGGGGGGGGGTTTAAAGCATTGTTCCATTCATGATTTCTTTGAGTATGCTACACCAACCAAAAATGCTTAGCCATATTTACCCAAAGAACATCTGCACATGCAGTCAATGTTTCTGCCTCTCCTTCAGAGTCATCAAAAGTTTCTGCCTCTCCACAAAAATGGCACAGGTCACTTAGGTCATCTATGAGGTACAGTACAACACTGATGAAAGTGATGCACATCAAAAAACATGTCAATAACATTCATGAGTTTATAAAGCCATACCAGATTGGCGGAGCAGAGTTAAAGAAATCTCCATTCTGAATCGTGTTAAATATTGTAGATCACTGGAGAAGTTTATTGTGGTATTTTGCAGAATGTGTTCTGCAAACTGAGGAAGTAACAAGAAATATGAACTTAAGCATCATCCCATTTTAATGAACACTTAATATTTGCCACAATACTATAATCACACACCTTCAAAGCGAACACACCACATGATATGGCATCCCTCTGAAGTGGGTGAGGCAAGGTTTCACACACCCAGTTCGAAACCGAAATACCCTTTGCCATCATCAGGGCTCTACAAGCAAGATAGTATTATTTCAAGCATACAGTACATATTACACAATAACACTGGTGCATGAAAAATACCTTGTTGTCTCCAAACACTTTTTCTTCTTGATATCTGACTCTCCAATTGAGTCAAGCAGAATGTTTTTTTGTTGGGATGGGTATATAGCCTAAGTAACATGCAAAAAGACAACTTGATAGGGGTATACAATTGCTAATCAGGATTAAGGGGAAAACTTAAGTGAAACTGTTCTATACCACAAATACTTACAACTAGGAACCAGTGGTGGCCCTCATTTACAATACCCACTATGACCTCATAGTTTGCTGGGTCCAACAAAAAAAAGAAAGAAAATATACATGTTCTATCATTTAAACGTTGCCAATGTACACAAAGACCTGAACAAAATGGGCATTAGCACAAGTAAAAAAAAAAAAAAAAAAAAAAATAAGCACTTTTGCAGGACACCTTGAGCCTTTCATGTTTTCCCCTCCACATATCTGTCATGGCAAATGTGTCCATGTGGAATGCCTTGCCTGGTGAAGTCAAATTGTGCTCCCTCACTTTCAGGGACAGATATGCATTTATAACCTTGACAAACATGGCAAAACATTAATACAAAATATTAGCATAGCAGATGAAAGGCTTATCTGTCAAAATCAATGAAATGTGTACCTCACTCTCCAACTCCTTTCCAGGGCCGATCCGCAAGTCTTTGTAAAACAATTTATAGGGTCCCACTCTGGACAGCAGGACATAACTGTCGTTTCCAGCCCAGGCACTTTTGAGACCTACAGAGGATAACCAAAAACAGCATTGCACCTACCACCTCACAAATATATTAGAAATCAGAGTAATATTGATCTATTATAAGATCTGACTGTGCTTCAACACTTACAGCGATGCACTGTGTCTGTGGTGTCGGCTGGTACCTCTGCAATCATTGTAGGGGTGTGGGACACAGGAGAGGAAAGTGGCATTTTGGTTGAATAATTCAACGGAGACAGGGGAGAGGATCTTGTAGATTTAGATCTAGTAGACAAGTCAATTGGTGAGGATGGAGGTGATGGTGGGGCTGGTGTTCATGTGACTTGGTGATGATGAGGTCTACAGGTGTGAGTGAAGGGCATAACGTTTCTTGATGTGCTCGTTTATTTTGTGGTTCTTGGGTTATTCTATGGGGTATCCGGGGTGTGTCTTCTTTAAAGGGTTTGAGGTGGTCAGTGTTGATTTTGGGGAATATCTTGCCATTTTCATCCCTTAAATCTGCGCTTTTTTCTTGCAAATAAACAACTTCATACGGTCCCAACCAGCTGCGCTCAAGCTTGCCCCCTTTCCTCTGTTGGGTCCGTATGTTTTTTTCGTAAGACCTTCTGCCCTACAAAAAATGGTGCCTGATTTGGCACAGCAGCCACCCTCTGTCTCCGGTCCTGTTTTTTTCTTACTTTTTTTTTTTTTTTACAATGTTGTCCATTTTCTCCTTCAAAGAAATGGCCTTTGAAATGGTGTCCTCTGCTATCACAGATTCCACTGTGCTGTTGACCTTTAGAAACATTGAAGATTGAAATTATTTCACTAAATTGATGCATGATATTTATATGGAACAATGTAAACGATCACATACCTCATATATCTCCGGCACCTCAAAAGGATATCGTGCCTCCATACCGAACATTAAAAAGAATGGTGAGAACCTAGTTGTCAGCTGTGTCTTGGTTCGAAGACCAAACATTACCGCATCTAGGTACTCATCCCATTTTTCTGGTCTTGTATCCACCAGTTTGCACAAGGCTCTGGAGTCATAACCAAAATGAGTTAAAAATTATAAGTAACCAATTTTCAAAGACAAATATTTCCCTGAATATTGCATTCCCACAAAGCAACCCATAAATGAAGGTTCACCTCTGAATTGTCAGGATTCAGACCAGGAGACAGAGGTAAGTGATGAACTCAAACTTTCTTTATTTTCAAACAAAGGTAAGTATTCAAAGTTGCAGATGCTCATAAGTGCTCATGTAAGAGGGAGCGTGGCAGGAACGAATCCAGGTGAGTAACTCCTCTTCTTAGTGCAGAAACGTGAGTGAATCTCGTGGATCAGTAACCCTCCTTTCTCTCTTCATAGATCATCTCGGGACGGACAGGATTCAAGAAGGGCTCCAGGTGAGTTGATCCAGTATGTGCAATCGGTGATAACTTAACCAGTTCAATGATACTTTCACTTTCACTTGCAGAGTATCCGGAGGGACGTGAGACTCGTTTGTAGATTCCAGGAGACGGGGAACGAGAGTCGTGGAGCATATCCTGGGAACAGCAGAACAAGGATAACAGGGTTAGTATCTTACAGGTGGATATACTTTCCGTCCGTTGCTGTAGGATGACTCAGAGCGTGATAAGTGGAGACTGGATAAGGGTCTTTTCCTGTCGGAGGCTTGACGATGACTGTGAGTAAACTGGGTGTTTTTATACTGGCTGGGAAGTGATCGCTGAGTGGAAAACAGGTGCTGGTGATTAATAATCTGGGGACAGGGATCTTTGCGTGGTGGTTTGTGAGGTCTCTGATTGGCTCCTGACATGAATGGTTCCATTTAATTTTTCCACGAGCCCGTTTGTTTGTGGATGGTATGGGGCACAGAGGCTTCTCTCCACATTGAGGAAGGCACAGAGCTCTTCATTGATCTGTTTCCAAAACATACATTAACATTAATCTACATAAACAAAAACAAATGTGTGAAACCATTAAATTCTCATGCATATTGAATTTAGTTCATTTAACAAACTACAAACCTAGTTTACAAACTCAGTCCCTTGGTCAGTTAGAATTCTCTTTGGTGCCCCAAACCTGTAGAAAAAATGTATAATGCAGCGCGAGACAACTGCTGCAGATTTATTTGGGATTGGATATGCCTCGGACCATTTAGTATAGTAGTCAACGAGGACACAAATGTACTCATTTCCCTGGTTGGTTTTGGTGACTTTCCCCACTAAATCAATGCCTAGCAGTTCCAGAGGCTTATCCACCTTAAAATGAAAATAAATACATTTAAATTATGCGCACTCATGAAATACCAGTCTCAAATCCCATGCACATCTGTGGACAAGCTTACACATATTGGGATGTACTTGGGCTCCTGCTTGATGGACAGTCTGCTAAATTGGCACTGGGCACACTGCAAAACCTGATGTTCAGAAATAAGCACATGAGAAATGCATTCCAAAACATAATACATTCGTATGTTTCACAACAAAGTTAGAAAGGAATAATTTAATATTTACCCATTTATCAATGTCCACCCCCATTCCAGGCCGGTAGAACCTCGCTGAAATAGCAAGCTTGGTTTTTTCTGTTCCACAGTGTGCTCCATAGGGGCTGGCATGGAATTCTGTGAATATTTGGTTGGCCTCTTTTTGTCCAATGACCACTTTTTTCCTCAAATCCATACAATTTTTTGAGGAGATGTAGTAAAGTTGACCATCTATTGAAATAGCTTTATTGTTAGTAAAGTCTAAACAATAACCTGCACGGAGGTTCTGAATGCCTAATGAAAGAAATAGGATATTTTAAACTGAAATTGCAGGATAAGTACTTTTTTATGTTCTATTTGCCCAGAAGGCTATAGTCCATGGACAAGTTTTTTGTTTCTATCAAGTCTTGGTGTATTACTATACCTCACTCCTGTCTGTGGAGTTATGTTATCTTCACTTTCAAAAATAATTATAATTTAGAATAGATTACTCCATGAATTTGGAAATTGGAGCAACGTCTGTGAATCACATATTTATGGTCTTTTTTTATAGCAAATGGATATGTGCCTTGAGTTTTATAGCTCATGATTTCCTCATAAATTTTTGGATCCATTGTTGGAATGTGCCAGCAAAAATTGAAATTCAGGTGACAATGTTGTGTGGTCATCTCCCCAATTTATAACACCATTGATTAACTTGATTAATTAAAGCTAATTAGTGCCCTCAGCAATTGTTAATTAATTACTAGAATGAATTACTAGAAGAAAAATAGCAATATGGTTTTATTCATATTTATTTATTTATTTTCATACAGGGAACATAAAAGGTGTCACCTGAAAATGAGTTTACCTTTTGACAATAATATGATGAACTCTTTTTTTCATGTGTATTTTGGTGACATTTAACATATTTATACATGTTGTATACGGTTTACAAAGTTGTATTTTATAAACCTGTCATCTCTGACGTTTTGCAATCTTTATAAATAATTGTTGTGAACTTTTTCTTCTTAAAGTGCAGAAAAGTCAGAAGAGCAGACCAGGAGACGGAGAGGTATCTTTTAAAGCAGATGTTCTTTATTAGGTCGCTGTAGCATCTCAATCTCGTCCAACTAAGGGAAATGTTCCCTTGCAATTTATACATTTAGAGGGGGAGGAGTTTACATTGGGGTGGAGTCCCTCTGAAACAAAGCATGCAAATGAAGTAGGAACACACCCTATTCTGAGGGCATTACCAATCCAATTGAATCAGCATAACTATTCAAATGCTGATAGTGGCCAGGAACTCTGGTTCCTAAGAGCCATCCCTTACGAAACAAAAATATATTGCAATATACTAGAATTTATATTGCAATACATTAGAAAATATATTTCAATATATCAGAAACTGCCTCATATATTTGAAAATATATAACAATATATGGATGGACAACCTATTGCTATATATTGATTCATATATTAAAATACATTGATATACAAACAAAACTGTATTACATTATTGCATGTATGTTTATTGAAACAAAGTATTTTTTTTTATGAGTTAAGTAAGCTCATGCATAGGTTTACAGAAAGGTTGATTAACAATAGTCCAAATCAAATTTTTGCATGACATTCATTATATTTTACATTATATAGCCATATGGATGGACCATATATGGCTATGTATTGATTCATATATTGTAAAATGTAGATGAGAGTATAAATTAAATTATCATTAACAGCAACAATTACAACATTTTTTAGTCCACTTTTTATTCCCCCACATGGTAAATTATTGTATACAATATATAATATGATAATTATATATAATATATTATGTAATATAAATCAATACATTTTTCAACATATTTAAGACATGTTTGCATATATATCTGATTATATTATCTGGTACATTGAGGTATATTAGCTCATATAATTTTACATATATATTTTCACATATATACAATGCCTCTTCCAATATATAATTTCATATAATATGGGACATATGTCAATATACCTAACAATATATTAAATAGTATAATAATATGTATTTATTCAATATATGAAAACGGCAATAATTGCAGTATTGTCCCATATATTGCAATATATTATTGCATATATATAATATATTATTATATAATATATCATATGATATATTACAATGTAAATTTCACAATATATGGAGACACATGAAATATATTGTCACATAATATATTGAGAAATATATTTTTGTTGCGTAAGGGATCGCAGAGCCATTAAAGACAAAAGGTGGAAGTCTCCCCGACAGCTAATCCAATCAACCTAATGATTCTATCTAGGCTGAAAGGAGAGAAAACAGGACTATCAGGAAAGGAGACTCAATAATCATCTAAAATCCGTCTACTAAACTTTATCAGTTTTTATACCATTGGAGTGGAGACCTAAATTAAACATTTGACAAATTTGTATTCCTTCAATTCCCCCTTTGGGAGTTCTAAATAACTCCCACAATATATACAAATTTAAACAATTAAAAATTCATTCTTGCAACTTGTGATAGTTACAGGCACATAAGGCATGTTCTGTGTTTATTTTTCTGTAATTGCATGTTGACACAGAAACAAAACATGCAATTAGGGTCCGTGAGTCTTTTCTGGTTGGAACTGTGATTTTCTCATGATCAATCAAGTTTCTGAACCATGAAGAATTATCTTCAGTCATCTTGGTGTAATTTTGCTGAAAGATCAAGAATGTCTTTTTGGAACATCATGTTTGTGCACAAGTGAGTCATGAAATGCAGCCATCTTCTGGTGTGGCCTGCAATGTTCTTTCCAGCAAACAAGGCGTTTCTTGACATATTCATCTCTCTAAGAATATGTGGTTTCTGGATTCTACACTTTGTGTGATGTCCATGATGGTTAGTAGTACGAAAATCTTGATCATTTTGATGGATGACTGAAGGTTCTGTGGGTCTCTGCGTTGTGTATTTTTTTCTTTTCTTTATTCTCTGCGATAGTTCGCTCGTCAGTGGATCTTGTTGTTTCCTGGAAGTGGTGTCTTCATATGCAGGTGAGGAGGTCGTGTGGTATCTGGAAGACAGAAAACAAAAGACAGGAGAGCAGTATTTTTTTCTTCAAACACTAGGGTCGTTCATTTTTCTGAGTCTGCAATTGTTGTTACATCTTTCCCTATTTTCTTAATTATTTTGACACCTAAAGGAACATTGAGGTGATGATGGACTAATGGATGGGGAAGGCCTATGAGGGAGTCTTCACCGCAGAGTTGGCCCCCGACGCCTGTTGCGTTCGGTTCTTCTCTGGGCTCCTCATGTTCCATGTCCTATTCTGTCCCTGTAGGTGGGGGAGGGCATTTTATGTTTACAGCCTGATCTAAACTCATTATTGATGAAGGCAGGGGCTGCTTCAGATTAGAAGGCAGACTGAGTAGGAGCTGAGCCATATTGTTAACTTCTCTCAAGTTCTTTTTGCTTTTCCTACACTCTTTTCTCCAATGTCCAGGCTTACCACAGTAATAACAACTGCCCTCTCTCTTAGGACATTTACGTTTCTTTTGCTTCTCTGCGTTGACCTTAGAGGATGCTGCTGCAATTTTTACAGGCTTATTGGTTACTGATTGGAGAGCTATATCTGTTTCAAAGAAAGCTTGAAAATCAGGATAAGTTTCATCTGACTGTTGGTCTTCTGAGTCACATTTGGTTGAGGCCTGGTTGTGGCCCACCTTTTTCTTGAGACAGGACACTTGAGTGTGCAATTGTTTGTTCTGTTCTTTTAATTTAGCAATACACTGATGAGCTTGTTCTTGTGCAATGGATAAGCTGGATTCTCTGTGACAACCAGTGATGGGCAGTAACGCGTTAGAAGTAACGCGTTACTGTAATCTGATTACTTTTTTCGAGTAACGAGTAAAGTAAGGGATTACAATTGAAAAAATAGTAATTAGATTACTGTTACTTCCCCGTAAACAGTCTGCGTTACTGCGTTAGTTAACCGTGATTTTGTTTAGTGTCGTGAGACTGTCTCGTGACATGAGTCGTGCGTGAATAACAAATGATGTATGAGCGCCGCGACATCAGTGAGAGACGACTAGAACGAGGGAGAGAGCAGCAGAGCTGCCAACTCTCACACACGCTCGCTCACACGCACACCCCTGATTTCTCGCGCTGAAGTGTCAACCCCTTCGGTCAAACGCCTGAAAGATGAGTTTATCTATAAATCTAACTGTTGAGCCACATTTGTTATTGACTAGTTACACCGCAAATTAGTTAAAATCTCACGGAATTTAGAGCGAGCGTGCATGCGAGACAGAGACTGTGCTCCATGTAGCGCGCACACGGACAGAGAGAGAGAGCAAACGCGAGAGACCTTGCATGTGCAGAGAGAGCATCCTGATCTAGAAACAGGACCCCCCGTTGGAGAATGTCAAAATTCTACCTCAAATCTGAGCAAGCATATGTCACGAGACAGTTTTACACGGTTAACTAACGCAGCAAGCCGGTACAGGAACGTGAAACAGGAATGTGAAACCCTACTGAAAAAAAACCTGGCCTGAACACCCAACTGACATGACCGCAGCGGCTACCTACATGCTGATGGGATATAATATATAACCACTGTTTCACTCCGAAAGAAAACAAAAAACGTGGAGCCAAAATGTGGCATGCAGCAGCATTTTCTGTTTTAATCAACTAATTTTTACTCCTCTCTGCACTTTACTGTTAAAAGACGTAAGTGTTAATAATTTGTAATACAGTCAGGAGCGACTTTCATTTTAAATGATTTTATTGCTGTATTTTTACATCTTTCCAAATGAAGGATTTTACAAAAAATACATTTATTTTATATGCTGGAATATGTAGAAATTTAAGTTAACAGAAGAAGGACTTTCTTTATTTCATTAAAATATGGTGGAATGTGCAGAAAATAGGTTTAAATGTTCAACAATTTTCTTCTAGTCTGAGACTATTGCATTTAATTGAATTTTTTGCTTGCAATGTGCATAAAGTTAAAATATTGAAACAATAAAATAAGTTTAAAAAAAGAGAATGTTTCATTTGATTACATTTTGATGATGGAATATGCAGAAAGAATAGAATTAGGCTGAAAGGTCTATTGCTTTAGCGTATTCAGGTCGTGCATCATGTGTTTGAAAAGTAACTTAGTAAAGTAACTAGTAAAGTAACTAATTACTTTTGAAAATAAGTAATCAGTAAAGTAACTGGATTACTTTTTTGGAGAAGTAATCAGTAATCAGTAACTAATTACTATTTCCAAGTAACTTGACCAACACTGGTGACAACAAATAATGGCTTTCACATTGTTCTTGCGAATACTTGCTCCTAGTACCTTTTTACAGTCTTCAATTGACCATACTTTGTCTGGATGAATACCAAATTTCTTTGTCAAATTCAATCTGACTGACTCAGTCACTATGGAGTCCATGTGCTCTCCTAACAATCACTTGAACTCACTGTCTGTCCATAAAGGAGTCGCAAGAC